GAAGTGCACTAACAATTTGTTCATGTGAACACAGGTTCCTATAGATTAGACACACCTTCCTTGTCTGGCCAGCGGGTTGGATGGCCGAATGGTTAGCATGTGCAGGCTGTTTCGATTCCCGGTTGCACGTTACAAGGACTAGGGTTTTCTCCGGGTCTTCCGGTTTCCTCCCACTGCTAAAGACCCCTATGCCCAAGCAAATTATTGAAATAAAATTGAACCATGTGTTAGTCCAAAAATGACCTAGTCTTTGTCAAGTGGACGTTAAACCTCATCCCCCCCCCCCCACCTTGTCTGGCCAATCACGCCAAGTAAGAGCTGGTTTGAAGAAAAAAAACATGATGGTTGTTTTTAGCTAATACCCGGATTCAAAACAACTACCGCAGCCTGATTACCCAAATAAGATAGAAACCGGACAATCTCCTAATTCAATTGAACTCTTCTACAATAACAGAACAGTTAATCACTTAACAATTCATGAATTGGAACAGGAGAGCAAATTTCACCTATAAAGATTCCAATGAACATATAGCTTGCTATGAAGTACTTGTTGCCCAGAGTTATATGGAGATTACATTATTATTGAGATAAAAGTACATATAAACAGTTCTGGATATCATCATTAATGTTTGGTTATGATTAAAATTGACAGTCTAATTTAATCCATTATCATCATATTGTTTGTTATTTTAAAATCTGGAGTGTGGAAAAGTTTTCTCAAAAAGGGTTTTGAAAGTTGAATATTCCTCTTTTTTTGTTTCAAAGACATAAAATAAAACGAAATTACGTGGATCTTGCGTCAGAATCCTAATCAAACTTTAAATGGTATAAAGAGATAATTAACAACCTTGGATATAAATAACTTGCTATACATCTTAATTAATTTATGACTAGCAGAAAGACATAAACAAAGAACCAGACTTGAAGGATATTTCATAAGAACAAACATGGAATTATTTTTCACAATTATCACAAATTGGTAGTAATTATAATCTTGGATTATGGCTTTATAATTTCATTAAGCATACTGCTAGTTTATCAGACTATGTGCAAAATAAGAAATACTGGGTTCACAGAAGTACACAAAAGTCAAAATTAATATTTAAAATTAGACCCCTTTGATTTTAGTCAAATATCAAAATTATCCATTTCATTGGATTTCACCTTGTTAATTTGTTTTATTGGATAACATTTCTATAGATAAAGCTAATTTTGAGATATAACTGATTGTCTGTTCCACTGTTGTCACAGTGAGCAAAAGATGAAACTAGTAAACAAGCCAGCTTCGGTTTAATCTTTTGAAAGAAAGATTTAATCGTATAGAGCTTGTCGTAATACTAATCTAAAAAAAACCACATCAGATCAATCTAATTAAATACTTAATTTTGACCTAAAGCAAAGAGGTATAAAACAACAGAAAATGGTATGACATTAAAATGTTAGTGTAACATGTCATTTATAGATTCATCTGGGGTATTGATATTTATCTTTTGACACTAGTTACCCACACATTCCTTTTTAATTTTACTTCATAATTGTTTCGTTAAGCCCAACACTTGTTCATAATTAGTTTTCATTTAAATGTTTTGCATATTTTTCACTAATTATGGATTTTCACTTATAACAACATCATTTCATTCTAATTTGTCATTAAATAAATGACTATCATTTTATCACATGACATTTTCACATCAGTGTTCTGTTTCCTTTTCTGATTTGGATAAAGACACAAATTTATTTTTTGACCTTGTTACTTACTCATCCTTTTTTAATTCTATTTAATTATTTAATTCATTTAGTGAAGTTATGTCAAAAAAATATATCGAAAGTATCCAGTATAATTATATGTAATTTGTACATCATGAAATTGTGATTTTTATATTTATCAATGAATTAGTCATATTATCAAACCCCTCCTTAACATCTCTCATCTATATCTTGTTAACCTTTTTAACCGAGGTATATCCTTAATAAAGTAGATTTATCCTACTCTACAGTTAACAAGTTCCTGTATAATTGGTGCTAAACAACTATTTAATATCTTTTCTGTCTAAACTCAACCACCATATATATAATACTAGGAGATCATTATAACCAATGATACACAGCCCATGAACAAGTAGCAAATATCCACATATTATGTTAACTCACTGTCCCAGCATTGCTCAGCTCAGATGCAACCTGCAATTTGAAGACCTTAATTGGTGTTATCACAATGCAGCATATGGACGGAAGTTTCCCTAACATCTAGACCTGGTTGACATTTATAAATCACAAATCGTGGAATATTTTAGTTTAGTAAAACAAGAGAAATATATCTGTTTAGAAGATCTAAATTCAGAAAGTCTGAAAGTCCTGGGAAAGTTTTTATCATCAAAAAGTTAAACCAAGTTTAGCAAACATTAAAGACATATGTTAAGCAAAGAAGTCCATTATTGCTAATTGAATTCCATTTTAAAGGCTATTTTCTTTCAGAGACAGTTAAATGAATATATGAATACATAAACTCTTTTCTGAAAATAGTTCTAAATTTTTGTCTTTTATTGTAATAACAAGCTAACAGTGAGGCTGATGTCCCTCGCCGAAATCCCAAAATAAATAGATGACACATTTATTTTTTTCAAAAGTATCAAGCAATCAAACCTATTATCAACTATACACCAAGTTTCATCACTCTCTAACAGATAGAATGAAAGATATCTGGTCACAAAGCATCGACCAATAAAATTGCTTAGCTCTGTTTAGCTTTAGCTCGTAATGTTAATCATTGAACTCAGTCAAGACATTCACCTAATGAACATCAACATCAAGTTTAAACATTCTACCTCAATTAAAAGCAGTTGTTATGTTCCAAAGTCTTGACCAATCAAATTGCTTGTCGATCCTTAGCCTAAGCAGAAAATTCTCATCATCAAACTTAGTCAAGGTAATGATATAATGAATCTATACTCGGATTTTCATCACTCTCTCTTAATTAAAACCAAAGTTATTGGCCCCAATCAGATTGCTTATCTCTGCTTACCGTAAGCAGACAATGTTTATCATTGAACTCCATTACGGCATTCACCTAATGAACGTCTACACCAAGTTTGAACATTCTACCTCAACTAGAAAGAGAGTTATTGTGTTCCAAAGTCTCGACCAATCCAATTGCTTATCACTCTGCTTACCCTGAGCAGACAATGTTCAGTATCGAACTTAGTCAAGGTATTGAGGTGTCCTCACTCTCACGTAATTAGAACTAAAGTTATCTTGTCCCAAAGCATCAACCAATCAAATTGCTTATCTCTGCTTACCCTAAGTAGAAAATTCTCATCTTGGAACTCTGTCAAGGCATTCACCTAATAAACATCTACACCAAGTTTGAACATTCTAGCTCAATTAGAAGGAGAGTTATTGTGTTCAAAGGTCTCGATCAATCAAATTGCTTATCGCTCTGCTTACCCTGAGCAGAAAATGCTCATTATCGAACCGAGTCAAGGTAATGATGTAATGAAACTATACACCAAGTTTCATCAATCTCACTTAATTAGAACTAAAGTTATCATGTCCCAAAGCATCAACCAATCAAATTGCTTATCTCTGCTTACCCTAAGCAGAAAATGCTCATCTTCGAACTCCATCAAGGCATTAACCTCATAAACACCTTCCTCAAGTTTGAACATTCTAGCTCAATTAGAAAGAGAGTTATTGTGTCCCAAAAAGTGTGACAGACAGACGGACGGACGGACGAACCCATTTTAATAGTCCCCTGCTTTCTTCGAATATGCTAACATTTCATTCATCTAATATGCCCTACAGACGCTTATGTTAAACCTGTTTTAAAAAGCTGGTGATCTTTAAACTGGTTTAACTTTGTGGTCAAGATGGGGCAAATAAACCAGTTTCAATAGCCCAGCTCTCTCTACTTGTGTTTGAGAAGGCGTTTCATAAAAGCTAGCTTATTGTCTGAACTGGTCGGCTTGAAAACACTAACTCAGGTAGCTTTGAACATATGCAAAATGAGCACATTTGCCCATTTATAATTAATTGGTTTACACTATACTCCCCTGGTGGCGTATGTTTTGTTTTTTTAAAAATAATTTACATATAAGCGTCTGAACAGCATAAAAGATAATATGACTATTATTTGTTTATTGTTTGGATGTAAAGGTGGGAGAGTTGAAAATGGACACAAGAGTAAATGTTAAAACATCATTAAGAAGGTACAATCAGTGTCGTATAATTTAGTATTTAGAGTATTAAAACACTCGTCAAGCAGGTTACTTCACACACAAGGAAAAAAAAAGTCAAAATGAAGGCCCGAGTGTTAACTCTGAAATTTTTAAAAGATAAAAACCAAGTTGTTTCTTTTTCATGTTTTACCAATTATTCTTGTTTTTTCTCATATTTATATGATAACAAAATATGATCATAATTTTGTGGCTATACTGTATATGAGAGTGATAAATGAAGGTATATATGATATCTGATTCTTAAAGTGATTTTAGGAATTAAAGTATCTATGCGAAGTATGGTATGGCTGCTATGCCAGAACAGATCTAGTCATGCTGATACACACCAATATACATCATTAAGAAATACCAGTAAAAAATAACCAAGTTAGAAGTAAGTGATTTACACATGCTACATATGTAGCTCTATAAAAGAGAAACAAATTGAAAACATGCACAGAGCTTTAGTACAATGACGTAATGTCAAAACTTTTATCTACATTCACATAGGCTTTTTACTGCTGTTTTATTTTCTATTTCGTTAATTTGTTTTTCTTGAGAAAAGTAATGGCTATATCGTCTATAAATCTGTTCTGGCATGTCTTATGTACTAACAGCAGACAAGTAACTCAGGCAATACATTAAGAAAATTTATCACCCTATATGATCAATTGACGATGAGCCAATAAAAATTGGTGTCTCATCACAGTTTGGCTTTTCTGGCTAACCTCTGGCCTCCAATCACATAAAAGTTCTCAGGTGACATGCAAAATAACCGAAACTTACAGTTACCCGGGTTGAGAGTAGTAGCCGATCCTTGACTTGAAGGTCCTTCCCCGGCAGCATTCCATGCCGAAAGGGTGACAATATAAAGCTGAGATGACTGGAGTTGTCCTAATGTCCATGATGTTGCATTGCCAGGAACTTCTTTTGTGACTTCCTTTAAATCTGGATGTCCCTTTGGGTTCAGATTGATTCTGTATCCTAGTAATGGACCATTGGTGTAAAATGGTGGTCGCCATGATAAAGTTATAACTGTTGGTGATGGCGCTGAGAGACTGCTAATTAATGGTGCCGAGGCTGGAACTACAATAAAATTATAACATAAGATACATGCAGATATGTTGGTTCAAACAAAAATAATACTGTTTATTTTTTAACATCACTTTTTATTGTTCATTTTTAAAAAGCACAAAACTACTACCCTCTAGATCAATGTTGCTATTTCAAAATTTTGCTAGTCGGGTATTTTTAGTTGGGGTTAATACAGGCCAGAATAAGGTCACCAAAAGTAGTTTGTCAACTTCAGGAAATAGTGTCATGTAGCATATCGTGTTCTGAATAGAAAAAAATAGGTGCACCTTGCTATTTTTCATATTTAATTCCTGTACGGTATTCAAATATGTGTCAGTAATATTCTTACAAAATTACGTATTCAAATTTTTGTCAGTAATATTCCTCAAAATTATGTGTCTTCGTTTATATGGCAGAAAATGAAAGCAAAACGTCTGTGATAAGAATAGTTTGTGATGTCGAAACATTGTTTGTCTTCTTTATAAATCGGTATTTTATAATGTCATCAGTGTAGGCAGTGTAGCCTTGACACCCATGTGCAATGCAGGCATGGTCACCATGTTATTGTTATTTGCCCACATGACTCGTTTTTCCCGCCAACTCAGCATTTGTAGACAGCAATGCAAGCTTGTGGGCAAGTTCCATTTTAGCCGCGAAGTAATTGTTAAATGGAGAAAAATTAAACTGGTGTGTATTAGCTAAAAACAGAGTGGATACATTTTTCTTATGATTATAACCTACAGAATATTTTGTTGTCCAGTGAATGGAAAATGATTAAAATATTGTATGATCTCAAATGGGGTGCCAGGTGGGAACATGAGATCAATTCCTACTAAGAGAAATGGTCACAAAATTATTGTGTTACAGGAATACAAAATTACCATTTCTACTAATTACTTATATCATGAACTGAATGACTGTTATTGACTAATCTTTGACTACTTTTAATCTCGTCGACCGACATCAAGGGGGTATTAAAAGGAGAAACCACAAATTGTTTTCAGGATTAAAATATAAAGGAAATCACTAAGAAAACGATAAGAGAATACTTGTCGAAACGTTGTGCTATATGTGTATAAACCAGTGATTGTTTTCCATATAAATTGTGATGTGTTTTTTTTTTTTAAATCACTTAGATTAAGAAAGTCAGTCAAGGTAGATTATGCAGTTAATCAATTAAGGTAGGTGTTTAACATAAAAGTGTTGATCACATAATTACCTATTCAATCCTGCCTATTATCAATGATATTCAAGATGAGTAGTAGCTATACACTTAGTACAGATAATATATTTTGGAATTTGGAATTTTGAATATTATTCACCTTATCTTGTCCTATTGAGCAACAAGATTTTTCAAAATAATCAAGGGCCATACGTCTGACAGTAATCAGAAATTGTTGAAAATCAATAGGATTCTTCATCTCATAACGTTAAACAGTGTGTATAAATTCAAAGTCAATCAGATATTAACTATAGACGGAGAATCAATAGGATTCTTCATCTCATGACTTTAAACAATGCATATAAATTAAAAGTCAATATGCATATAAATTAAAAGTCAATCGGATATTAACTTTAGCCTTAGAGTGTCACAGCAATATAAGACCATATTACAAAAGAGAGCAAGAGAAATGGGGTTTAGGTCATTTCAGGACTAAAATATGGTTCAATTTTATTTCAATGATTTACTTGCGCGTAGGGGTCTTTGGGGGGGAGGGGAACCAAAGTATCCAGAGAAAACCCACGAGATTGGGACCACATTTCAATGTGGCCGTATAAAAAGAAAAGGAAATTCTGGTCTGTACACTAATTAACGTAATAATAACAAAATTATCTGAAAATTGTATCTTACACTTCTTTTCTATACTCACAAGCCAATCAGTAGTTAGCTACGAAAGGGAAGGGTACAGCTCCAGGTTAATATTGATGTCATTCATATTATGTCTATCACCTTCATCGCTCGTTTATTTCTTGTCTTACAGTAGCCTACACTGGTTTAACTCTTTACCACTTGAAACACATTAAACTGCCAGAAGCTACCGCTCCCTCTAGCACCTTAAACCACCTGAGACACATGAATAGCTGTGAACTCTTTAAGAACCGTATAATAGTTCTGGGACTCATGCAGTTTGAGGTGTCTGGGAGGCAGTAATTTTGTGCATCTCAAAATTAAATGTACAAAGCATCGCTTGTCTCTAATTTTTTCAAAGAACTGGGCTAGTCAATATTTACATGTACCAAGTGCTAACGGGTTAATATACTTAAATTGACAAAGTAAACTTAATCCAAATGAGGAAACCCGATATGATCTTTTATCCATTTGGAAATTTCACAGACAACCTTTGCCTTACTTTTGTGTTGCCTTTTCCTTAATTCATTTTACATGTAATTTGAAATATTGACTTACATTTGATTCCCCTATCTCTAACATTCAATCGATATCCTACCATTTTTCTCGAATAAAAAATGTATTTTTTTAAAAATATTATCTTAAACATGATTTAAAGCCGACGATTATTTATGGGCAATTGATTTTCTGTTGCTGAGTGTTCATGCGTGACATGGCAAATCATAGATACTATTGTATTGTTCAACTCACAGACTTTTTTTATATTTTCTACTAATAATGACAGACAGTCAAGCAATTGGAACTTCTCACGTTAGTTCGCATTTGTAACTTCCGCACAGGAGAGCAAATGAAAAGGGTGAAAGTTCTTGCTAATTGTCTGAATCCACTTGAGCTATTCTACAGGAACTCAATGCGCAATCAATAGACCTTCACAAGCTGAGTGCTAAAACCACTTGCGAAAGGGCACCTGCATGACCCAGAATAAATATCAACGACAATTAGATAATTCCTGAAAGTGGATTTTGATATTAAATCAAGCTTGTCAGCCTTTTTCAACCATTTTAAACAATTTAAATCAGATAATTAAATTAATTATTAATTGATATACAGCAACAACTCTTTAAATACGCTTCAACATTTAAATTATTCATACAAAAATTTATTCTAATAAAGTCAATAACACCTACTTATGCATTTACTACAGGACAAAAAGCATACTAAAATGTAAATTTCAAGCATAATTCTGGAACCAAAAGTATCATTTAATTCATACATGTTACAATGAAATGAAATGAAATGAAATGAAATGAAATGGGGTTTAACATCCTACTGATAGGCTAATGAAGACAGCTTGGCATATGCCATGCAGTGTGCTATGAGGACAAATTTTGCCCGGACAGCAGCGCTACAGCCTCCTCTTATATCAAATTCCAAATGCCAAGGGATATTTTGGGTACACGCCGATGTGTACACAGGACCTTGGTTTTTCATTCAATCCAATGACTATATATAGAGCTGTCCTTGTCAGGCCCTCCGTCCTGCACCACTGGAAACCACGCCGGAAAATATTGATGAACTTTCTCAGTTCACAATGAATATAATTTGTGAACCTATTTGTGGCGAGATTGTGACAGCATTTGATATAGGAATTCGTCTAATATTTCTTTTATTAAATCAAGTTTTTTTATAGTCTACTGTAAAAAAAAAAAGACCTTATCGTGCACATGATAAGTTATTAATGTCCGTCTGACCAGTTATCAAACCAGAACCATATTATATCAACATATTATTTCTCATCGACTAACAAATGGAATCTTTAGCATTATGTGTAGAATTTGAAATCTTTAGGGATGGTAACCTATATTTTTCAATAACAGAAAATACTGTATCCCCCCCTCAACTCTCTCCACTTTATAAATGAAATAAATACATTTTACAAATCGATGAAATGAAAACATTTTCTTAACAGAAAAAAAACAAGGTATATGAGAATCTATTTTCACAAATTTTCCTCTTTTTTTTCACGTTTTTGTGGATATTGATACTAAAGTCAAATATAAAAAAGTGTATTTAAATCTCTTTACCCAAAAAGAAATTTTAATGAAAATAGGTCAATTTCTTAATTTGTTTCAATGGCATTTAGTAATTGAGCTGGAAATACACAGGGAACAATTCTATGAAATACAATTTAAATTACTGTTTATTAGTGAGCGATGCTTCAACTAAGATTCTCTAATCTATACCCGTAAACAGTAAATGTATTCCATAGAATTGTGTACCATGTATAAACTTTCATAATCAATCATCTTACCTCCGTGGGGTAATGTAGTAATTGGCACACTTTCATTTGATTCTAACATGTGAAATTTGCTCACAACTGCAATAATCTTAAACTGAAAAACAAATTGATATTATTCATTCATGCTTTATTTTTAAATAATATTATGTATGGAAGCAAGATTTACAACTTAGTATAATATAGTTTTCTGCTATAATCTATTTTGCAAGATCCACTACTGAACAATTTTGTTCCACACAAATATTACCTGAACTGTGTGAGTAGAACTAAATTGTGGGAGTTTATGAATCCAGTCATTTAGCATGCATGCAAAAGCAGTAACTGTTGTATCAGGTATACACCAAACACATGAGTACAATATACTCTGTATTTATGTATTTATTCACCTGAACAATAATGAGGAAATAATTCACATTTCTCAAATTACAAACTACATACATGTATGAGATTATCTTTTAGCAGACAGAACATTTTCAAAGCCTACTTATAAACAATAACTGTCTTATTTTACTGTTTATATGAAGTTTTTACTGACACAATATGCTAACAAGTGATAAAAATAACGTGTAAAAAAAAACAATGAGTCTGGCAGTTGCATGTTAAATAGGTAAATGTGATACTAGTGTTCAAACTGCTCTATAGACCAATGTGTGAAGTGCTGATGGATGATAATGATGAAGATATTGATGAATGAAAGGATGTTATTATCACCACCAATTTTGGTGGAACATTTGCTCTTTTTTAAACTGTGTTTACATTGATTTTATTTCAAGTAAAAGTAGTAAAAATAGCCTGATGTGTTGTGATCTGAATTGGAGAAAGCTCCAAAACACTCTGCAAACATGGAGCTTTATTTCAGTCAAGTTTCAGCAACTTAATTGATACGGTAGGCCTACCTGTAAGCCCATTTAAGGGTGTGGCCAAATGGAGTTTATGAAAGCCCAATATTTTAATTTTTAGTTACATTTTTGAAAACCATTATTTCAAAGTATAGATCTTTGTTTCTGTTAGGTTTTAACCATGTAACTGATGCCCATTTGAAGAGGTCTGACTTGGTTAGATATGTGAATTATTAGCTTCAGCTATAGAGACCTTTGCTGCTAGAAAGTTGCAACTATGTAACTGATGACCAGGGAATCTTAGGTGCTGCTGTGGCTATATGCTCCATCAGTATACCGTCTGACCAACTGATTTTTACTCGTATGGACACCCATTACTATATATATATTTCCAAAAGGTTTTTGATGTCTCTAGTAAACTTAAGCTAAATCAACTAAATGTTTAACCACAATTTCCATACAAACTGACAACAGCATTCTGTAAATGTGGATTAGGGAAGCATTGTTTCTATACTGATAATATAAAATCTGTATCAGCATTCTAGTATTACATGCAAATTTGGGTTATTTTGCAAATTTTGAGAGAATCTTTATGTACTTTAAAGTTTAATTAAATCCCTGGAAAAATCACTATATTACATGTAGCTCTTACAAACAAAGCACTTAAGCATCCTGAAAAGTGTTCATACTAGGACTGACACTGACCCCCCCCCCCATCCCTCTGGAATTACTCTTGTTATTGACTGAACTTTATGAAAGGGGATTTAGAAGTAAAATTTTATAGCCAATTTCTGAGAATCTTTATATACTTTGATCAAATTCATAGCAAAATCCACAAATTACATGTAGCTCTTATAGACAATGCACATACACATCCTGAAAAGTTTACATTTACTTTGAAAACAATGAATATATAAATAAATGAGCCTATTGAATATTACATATTTTAGAGAAGAAAACAATACCTTGTAAGTAACATATGGATGAAGATCTGTGATAAGAAAGTTGCCATTTGGTTGTAGTTTAGTGGAACTGTGTAACTGCCATCCACCATCTGATCCGGATTCTACAATCTTTCGATGAACCAAATATGTGACAGTATCTAGAATTCTACCTGCCCATTGTAAAATTATGGACGAGTATTGCTTTGATTCTCTTATCAATTCTGGTAATGGAAGTGGTCTCAACTCCCCTAAAAAATAAATTGTCAAAATATCAGACATATTTCAGTCTACCAAAAAGAACAAATGACACATTATTTTAAATATTAAATTGTTTTGATATATATATATGGAAACTGAGAATAATGGAAGACTAAGCTTGGAGATTTCTACATGTATGGCGCTCTTTTTCATGGATCATTACTTGAAATGACTAGACCTCTTATCGATCGCACTGGATTTTATTTGTTGATTTATTTTGTAAGATAACAATACATCTACATTGAAAATTTTATGTCTCCAGATAAATACAGTGTTGAGATATAACCTATTTTATCTGACAACAAGCGGTTGCCAAGCAAGATCTGCCTACATTTTGCAAGAGATGGACAGAGACGTTATGGTCCGAAATGTGAAAATATCGAAAGGAACCGAGATATTTGGGATATAAACAATATATTTTAAGTTTCATCAAAATCGGACAAAAATTGTGACCTCTAGAGGTTTCACAGCCTTGGTATTACATACTTTTACACTATTTGCATACAAGGAGCGGCCATTTTGTTAGGCAGTTTTCTTATGGTGTAAAAGTGATATATTTAAATTGTTTTTAAAACTGGAAAACAATTGTGACCTCTAGAGGTTCCACAAGCTTAAAATGCGATTTTTTTGTACAATTACAAGCCATAATCCAGGAAGTTATAGTCTGATATGCACAAATATTGACAGGAATCAAGATTATTGGGATATAAACACATATTTTAAGTTTCATCAAAATCAGATTAAAATTGTGACCTCTAGAGGGTCCACAATCTTTATATTACATACTTTAACACTATTTGCATACAAGGAACGACCATTTTGCCGGGCAGTTTTGGTCATTTGGGTGTAACAGTGATATATCTAAAGGATTTTTAAATCAGATAAAAATTACGACCTCTAGATCGACCACAAGCTAAAATCATGATTTTGCGTACAATCAGGGGCCATTATCCAGGAAGTTACAGTCTGGTATGAGCGAATATAGACAGGAACTGAGATCTTTGGGATATAAACATACATTTCAAATTTCATCAAAATCAGATAAAAATTATGACCTCTAGAGGAGTGTCCACAAGCTAAAACATTGATTTTTTTTACAATCAGGGGCCATAATCCATGAAGTTGCGGTTCGATACATGCCAATATTGAAAGGAACCGCAATTTTTTAGAGATAAACCTATATTGCAAGTTTCGTCAAAATTGGACAAAAATTGTAACCTGTATGGGCAACAACAATATACATCCACATCAAATTGTGGGCATATAAAAATTAAATCAAAATGAGTAAACATAAAAAATTCTGCTTAAAATTTTGAAACAAAAATGTAATCAAACAAGGCCACTAATCTAAATAATAATACAATACATTACTTTAACCTTGCAGAAAAATAGGCATTTCATTTCATTTATTTAATTTTAATCTAAATCAAAGAGGTTTAGTTCTTTTGAGATTATCCCTTTTTTAATAATTATGATTGTAATTTATTATATACAACTGTGATACATTAAATTTAAATTTATGCATTTCTAAATCACAAATAAATACATCTGATTTATAATAATGAGAATATTCAGCTAAACAAGATATTAATCTGAATTCCATTTTATACAAATAACTGTTTTGATCATATCTCCGATATTCTTGATTATGTTATAGTAAGCGATGATCAAAGCACCCAAGGCACATGATAGATTGTCCCAGTAGACAAACTTACTGTCCTTTATACCAAATGTTGTGTTTAGTTTATATATTAACGATCAACACATCAAATACTGATTTCTCTATTGCTTAAAGGTTATAAAATTAGCTCTAGCATTTATCATTAATCGAACAACACACCACCAAATACATCACTCAAGCACCTACTTTCTATTCGTTTTTCGTATTCTCCTAGAGCTATATTACATCCTCTTACGCAGTTCTGTATCTGTAAATAAAAAGAAATTATAAAAGTTTATATAACAACATATTTCATTGTTTATTTTTTTTGTATTGTATTATAGAATAAATTTCAAGATCCTGAATTTAGTATTATTTTGGATTGTCAGATGATTTGAAGAACGTTTCAAACTCTTATGGATGAATTTAAATCAATGATGTAATTGGTACTGTAGGAATGTCTATAAAAAGAAAGACCATAGAATTTAAATGACTAAAATTGGTGTTTATTGTAGGAATTGTGGAAACCAAGGGTGATACTATACAGAGAGAGAGAGAGAGAGAGAGAGAGAGAGAGAGAAAATGGGGTTTAACACCCACTCAACACAAACTAGGTCATTTTGGGACTAACACATGGTTCAATTTTTATTTTAATAATTCTCTTGCGTGTAGGGGTCTTTAGCAGTGGGAGGAAACCGGAGGACCCTGAGAAAACCCACAAGGTTGGACAGACGACCCTACTCCTTGTCATATACAACCGGGGTATCGAAACCCCGCCAGTTAACTCAATGACAGACGTTATGATACAGCACGCACATGCTAACCATTCAGCAATCCAACTCCAACATACTATACAGGATAGATCTCAAATATAAATGTCACCAGCACTGCAGAAGTATCATCATTGTTTAACTTCAGATACAAAGAATGAATGAAGTATTTTAAATCTACCTTTGTTTGAGATGTAATTTCTTGTAATGGTTGAGCATTCTGAAAAAAAAAATCATATAAATATCAAACAATCTAACATGTATTTAGGGGTAATTTTCCGTTACCAGGTTTAGTCAATACCTGACATAATTGATTAAAGTCTCGATGTGTCATTTAGAGTTATAGGAATCGTTTATATTATTACTTTTAAAGGTGAAATGAAATGAAATGGGGTTTAAAGTTTAAAGTCCTAAAGACGGGCATACGCCATACAGTGTGCTATGAGGAAAATTTTGTCTAGACAGTGACGCTATGGCTAACTGTTATATTGAATTCCAACTGCCAAGGGATCTTTTGCATGTATGTCAATGTGTACATTGGACATCGGTTTTTCGCTCAATCTGAATGACTAGACAGCTGTCCTTGCCAGGACTGCCATTTTGCACCACTGACAAGGGGAAACCACGCTGGAAAATCCTGATGAATTTCGAAGTCAACACCGGGAGCAAACCCAATTTTACAATGAATACAATTTGTGAACCTATTTGTGGCGAGATTGTGATAGCATTTGATATAGGAATTCCTCTAATATTTCTTTTATTAAATCAAGTCTTTTTATAGTCTACTGTAAAAAAAGAAACCTTATCGTGCATATGATAATTTATTAATGTCCGTCTGACCAGTTATCGAACCCACAACCTCTAGGCTAGGGAGTCAGCGCCTTACTCACTTAGACAACTTTTAAAGGACATACATCACTCCTGATTATTTTCACACCTTAGTGACCTAACAAGTACCTGATAAACAACATCATTTTATTGATCACATCATCACTACCAATATACTTTGTGTATTCAACTGTAATGAGTTTAAGAGTGATAATTTTCTACACTTTGTGACATAACACCTATATATACTTGATGGCTACAAATGAAATACACCATACAATATGCTATGACAGACAATTTGGCCAGAGGACGGTACTACAGACATCTCCAACTGTCAAGGGTTCTTTATGTACGCCAATGTGTATACGTAGTCAATGTTTTTTGTGTAATTTACTAATCACTTTTATGACGATTTTCACACCTTACTGACATAAAACAAATCTAATGAGCATTGTGTACCACTTTTATTAGTTAATAAACATTATTATTCCAGTTCAATAAAGCGACGATTTTTTCACCTTAATGAAATAAACTTTTTTAACATGCAATTACTAAATGTTTGTATTGATTAGTAAACATTAATACATTGGTTGAGCCGAAAATTATGTGGTAATGGGTGATTTAAGTAAGACTAGTGACATTTCCTAGTGATGATTTACACACCCTATTGAAATAAAATCTGTTTAATAAGTACTGAGTAATCATAAAGTACTTTTACACTGGTTGAGCATAAAATTCAACAGTAATGGATATTAAAATTTTCTCACTAAAAGTGATGATTTTCTCACCGTAATAAAATAAAACTTATTTAAAATGAAATGAAATGAAACTGATTTAAAATGATATGAAATTTATTTAAAATGAAATGAAATGAGGTGTAAAACCTTACTTTTCTGCATTGACTGGTCTAATGAAGACAAGCATGCAATGAAATGAAACTTATTTAAAATCAAATGAAACTTATTTAAAATCAAATGAAATGGGGTTTAACGTCTTACTTTTCTGAACCGACTGGTCTAAGCCATATAGTGTGATATGAGGGAAATCTTGTCAGGAAAGTTTGAAATTCCAAATGTCAAGGGTTCATTTACGTGCACGCCAATGTGTGAACGGGGCCTTTGTTTTTCATTCACTCCGAATGACTAGACACTTGTTAGACTCCCTGTACAAACTTCTTTAATAACTTTTGTGTAAATCATAAACAATTGAATAGTAAATATTATTAAACTGATTGAGTAGAAAATTCAGTGGTAAGAGGGTAGTAGTGAGTTTCTCACTAAAAGTGACTTAAATTTTCTCACCATTGTACAATAAAACCTATTTAATGACTATCAAGTAATTATTAGTATAAAGAATTGACTTATGTCTCTGCTAATTATGGCAATTTATTCCACCATTGAGTACTTCTTGCAGTAAAATATAAGCAGTATTAAATATATGTAATTGCTGATAAAATATGAAACACATTTATTTGAACTATGAAAAAAATTTTCTACCCAAATTAATTTGGCAAGTTTGTGGACAATTTCTAGTTGAAAATGGGATAAAGATCAGCCAATTCCATGAAATAACTGTCTATCATTGAAACCAGATCTAGCAAACACTAATAAAATAAATAACATCTCTATTGTTGGCCCCTCAGTCACAATTAATCTGAAATATTTGTCTCTGCTGAACTGTGAGGGTCTTAGCGCAAGTAATTTCCTTTGATTCTAATCAAAAACATCTTATTTTTACCAGACTAACGTAAGATCAATAACTAGTTTGTAGAAAGAAATTGCTTAGCCAATCTTATTGGGTCTAATGGTAAAATAATTTATTTACTTAAGTCATGAAGTCTACTTATCGTATTAATAAAACCCACAAGCATCAAGTCAGTGTGGATAACAACTTATTACTCACTAACAACAATTTAATTTAATTTAAAGTACAAATCCAAGATATATTTCAGTAAATAAAACTGGTTCATTCTGTGCAGAAAAGTGCTTAGAACACTCTGTTTTGGTCCCAGGCATGTATCTGAAGCTCTGTAATTCCAGAATTCAATAATTAAAACTGGTTCATGTGGCGCAGAAAAGTGCTTAGAACCCTTTATTTTGTCCCCAGGCATGTATCTGAAGCTCTGTAATTATAGATATATTTCAATAAATAAAAATGGTTCATTTGTAGTTTAAACAATATTTTATTCAATAAACTGAATTGGATTTGAACAACAGGCAAAAGCCTATATAAGTTCCCCCCAAACATATAAAACAGTTATATCTTATGTTTACAATAGACAATGGTGGACATATGTATAAACAGTGAGTTACATTTTCATTTTAGATTATGAAATTTATATAAGATAAAAAGTATTGCATATTCTAAGTAAAATATTAAATGTTAAAGTGTTAAAACCTCTTGCTATCTTTAATGTATTTTTGAACTATGTTAAATATGTTAAAATTGGTATAATCTGAAAGGTCGGGGTTGCCATACAAGATTAGTTTAATTGTAACACTTTGTTTAAGGTGGTGTAAATTATTTTGGAGAATTTTTGTTTGGGCAGAGTAGGCTGGACATATAAAAAAAATAATGGTAATTATCTTCGTCTGTAGACTTACATCTCTAGGGCACACCTTTGTTTCACTAATACATGTAAAATGGTAGAATAAGTGGTTATTTAAATTATTAGCTTTATTTCTTAATTGGCAATGTAAAACCAATCAAATCAGCATTATGATCATAAATACTAAAATTTAACAAATCCAATTAAAAGTTTCTCTTCAAATCCTCCACATTCATAGACACATTCACATCAGTCTTAAAATCAAACATTTTCATCCTGATTACTCAAGATAAAGGAGAGAAGCCAAGAGAACATGCAGAATGGACTTTTTCCAACTAAAATCTGTCTGTAACACAATGTGTTATTGTCCATATTCCTGTAACCAAAAGTGATACAGTGCAAAAGCATTAACCATTACAGTAAGTGCCCCCACTGATCAAATTGCATTGGGTTTTTATTAAAGATGATCGATTTAGTATTGATTAGTTTAAATTCATCATGGGAATGATATTAGCCTGTAATTCTGATAATAATACAACGATTATCATATGATGGATAGGGTTCTTATCATTGTTAATTTGTCTGCCAAAAACCTTCCCTCTCTCTCTCTCAGAAAAATGTGGAAATGAAATGTCTACTGCCAAGTCCCTGTCTGATGTAGTTATGTCATATTATATGAAATCACCATATGGTTGATTTATAATTGTTAAGAGCATCATGTTTATTTATTATATATGTAACATGACGTCCTGACATAGACTGAAGAAATAATTTATGATTGATCACAAACAAAAATGTTCTGATTTAGGCCACACCAATTTGAATTTCTGTTCTTTGGGAACACCTGTTTAAATTTTGCTTCTTATTTCTTTGGGAAAAAAAGAGTTATTTAAAATTCAAAAGTACTTGGTTGCATTGTTCATAAGCTTTTGATTCAAAATTTTCATGTTTTGAAATTATAAACAAGATATCTTTCACATGATTCAAGCAGCTATTAATTTATCAAGACACTGAACAACAGAAAATCAAATTGGTGTGGCCTACAGCTTGTTTCTCTATAATTTGCGTGATATCAATATTTTGAGAGCTTAAATTGTCTATATTTATTAATGGTTATTTTATTCAATAGATTACTCAACCAAGGATTTGTCTTGGAATATTCACCAATTCCAAAATGTTCTTTGTATATCGGAAATCATCCACCAGAACTTTATCTCCGATAAACATATTTCGTCCAACTAATCACCAACTTGAACCGACAAGAGCGATTGTTTTGCAATATTGCTCAAGTATTGAAAAAAGTAAGAATCAAGGAAAGATATGTTGTAGATATGCATATAATACTCATCATATCCAAAATTTAAATTTCATAACAAAAATTGATAAAATTATGGATAATTGAAATTTTGACAGTCGACCTATAGTCTGCGTGAATGACATTCAGACAGTTAAATTTAAGTCAAATTAAAAATGTAAACACTGTGTATAAATTTAAAGTCAATCGGATATTAACTTTGACCTCTAGAGCATCCACAAGATTTTTTGAAGTGATCAAGGGCCATAACTCTGGCAGTAATTATCGTAAATCGCTGAAAATCAATAGGCTTCTTTGTCTCATGACCTTAAACACTGTATATAAATTTAAAGTCAATCGGATATTAACTTTAGCCTATCTAGAGCGTCCACAAGATTTTTTGATGTGATCAAGGGCCATAACTCTGACAGTAACTATCGGAAATCGCTGAAAATCAATAGGCTTCTTCGTCTCATGGCCTTCAACACTGTATATAAATTTAAAGTCAATCAGATATTAACTTTAGCCTCTAGAGCGTCCACAACCGGACCGACAGACAGACGGACGGGGGCGACAACAATATACAACCACATTTCAATGTGGGCATATAAAAAGTCAGCTTTAAGAAAGCCTTCTTGAAGACAGGTAGAAGCTTGGTTTTTAAAACTGATTTATTTGCCCTAACTTTAAATTCAGATGATAAATAAGCTGGCTTAACAATCTCATACAGCTTTTAAACCAGCTTAACTAAAGCATCTGAAGGGCATACTTGGTTAAATATGCTGGGAATTTTAAGCCAGCTCATTGTAACTAAGAAGTGAGGACCAAACCTGAAGAAAACTTGACATACAAGTTAAACATTAATATGATCTCAAAACAAGAACAATCTTTTGAAATATCCATTTCAAATATTGAAATGACATTTGAACATTTCCTGATGGTTTTCCAATTTAGCAATAGAGCTTGCTACTGAACCATTTTGAGCTAATAAAACCTACTTTCAGATTTAGAAAAATGAGATCCATATCTCGATGGTACTAGTTATTTTCAAACACAAAAAATAGCACAATAATCTTGGGAAAACATTTTTACTCCGGATCTTTGATATTCTTTTCGATTTGTTACTCCGGATCTTTGATATTCTTTTCGATTTGTTAAACTATATGAAATTTGACAAGTGTGAAACTTGTGTGCCAAAAATATCAATTGACTTGTCAAGATGGTAATTACACTGTTGACATCAGGGAATATCCAGAAAAAAATCTAATTGTAAAGATGTAAAACATGAAACTCAAACATTTCATGCTGAAATATTGTCAAGCAAGAAGACAAAATGAAAGATGACCAATTATATAAGTATAAATCTTTATAAGTTGCCTACAACAACAACCAGAACAATTTTTCATTTTCAGTAATATCAATTTACCAAATGTACATTTAGAAATACAATCTAAGGATAGTCGCTCTGATTAACATAGTTTTCGTCTCACAAAGGATATTGAACAAATTGGAAGAAAAAGTTAAAGAACCATTTGAAAGTCTGAGATTTGTTGCTTTTTTGAGGGGTAGCTTTTCACACCAATTTAATCTAAAATCAGAATAGCGAGTCAAAGATTTTTTTAGTGGATGGAACATTAGTAATAATCAATTATAGGTTGCCAGGAAACAAAACTGCATAGGCTGCCTTATTTCCCTAATCTGAACAATGCATAGAAAGCTTTGATGATAACTTTTGCCGCTTGTGCATTCACAAGATTCTTCAAAGGCAATAATCCTAAAAATCATTTGCAGAAATTGTTGAAAATCAATGGGATTCAGTTCATTTATCTACAGAAAAATCCAAAATATGCATTATTTAACTTAAAAGATGATTTCATAATTATTATCATTCTTATCAACTGAAAAAAAGATGGCAATAAGAATTTGTGAAACTCAAAAAAATAATGTCAACACAACTTCTAATAAACATAATTTAGTAAGAGCACATGCAATTGAGCATGCTTTTAGACCTGTATGTGGCCCTTTTTAAAAGATTGGAAAATACATGATCCTCATTGAGTGATAGAGATTGACACCCTGTTATAAATAGCCTTTTCCTTTACACCAAAAGGGATTAACATTTGAAAAGAAACATGGGTAAAGGATCATCGCAGAACTCACTTCCACCATTAACTAATTGTGCTTTAAAAAACATCCATCTGGAAATGTTGTCTGGCATTCAATTCAATCAAATCCAAATGAATTAAAAGTATTTTATATTCTTGTACATCAATTAATTTTATCTACCATTAGCAGATGCGTAACCATGCCGAAGTGTTCAAGACATCACAATTAATGAATAGGAGCATTTTGGTAAATGGAGTTTATCGGCTGATCATGATAAATTTCAGTACAGATCAGTAATACAATTGACATTAAAGCTGAATTGTTGCAACTTACCTTTGAATCTGTTTTATCACAAACAGATATACATGATGCATTTAATCCAGTTTTATAATATCCACATCCTGTCTGACACTGAAATATATATATATAAAAAAAACTTTTATGATGCGTCATTTGCATTTTCACTAAAATATCAAATTTCTCATGACTTCATCTATGGTAACATGTACTCAGATTGATTATTTATCATTTAAATAAAAATATCCAAATACCCACCCTAATAGGATTCAACAGATTGACAATAGGCCTATCAATTATGTTCACCCACAACAAAATGGTGGTGGGGTTATTACATAATTAGTGACATAGATCGATGAAATGTCAACTGAACATATCTTTGCAAATATTCAGCGAAATTGAATCATTTTTGGGCCGATATTCATATTAGAGATTTCTCTTTTACAATATTGTAGTTTACATGGGCTTCCTATTGCGCTAAAATATTTTCTATGCTGTAGTTTTGTATTTAAGTTGCTGCAAGTATTTCGACCTGGACTTAACTTCGCCTTCTGAAATCCTTGTTATTACTCCACTTGATAACTGCTGTTCATCATTTGCCAATATCTAATTTTTCATGGATTAATCCATGCTTAATTCCACAAACTGATTATTTAACATCTAATTAAGAAACAAAATTAAAATATCACAACTAAATATTGTCTGCAGATGATGCTGAATATTGACAAATTTTCAATTCATGGTATTTGTAAATACTGATTGCCATTGAACCATTATTGACTCATGTTTCCTTTATAAATTATAGTTGGGGGTTGGATGGCCAAATGGTTAGCGTGTGAGCGTTGAATCATAAGGTCTGTCATTGAGTGAACTGGCGTGGTTTTGATTCCCTGGTTGTATGTGACAGGGAGTAGGGTCGCCTGTCCAACCTCGTGGGTTTTCTCCAGGTCCTCCGTTTTTCCTCACACTGCTAAAGACCCCTACGCACAAGAGAATTATTGAAATAAAAATTGAACCAAATGTTATTCCCAAAATGACCTAGTCTCTCTTATAAATTATAGAGACCCAACTGTCAGAATACTGTAGTTTGCAAGAGCTTCAAAATCCTCCAAAGGACAGTAAGGGATTTGAATTAGAAGCAGTGATCGGTATTTCCAGGGAAGATTGGTTAATAAAACTTCAGATTGTTTTTAATTTAATTTTTTATCAATTTGTGTAGAAAGACACCTTGGCCCTGCCTAGATAGGGTTGTAACTGCTGAATACATGCTTTAGAACTTAAACGTTAAGAAGAACAATAAGACTCAGTCATCAACATCCCACACCTTTGTATACCAAAAACTAAGTCAAATTTGTTTCCAGCAAAACCCCAAAATGAGAAATTTCTCATTCACAACGGGCACAACAACTACATTAGGTTGATAATGATATCTTAATGGTTTATGAGATATGATCGAGATATGATCGAGAACAAAATTTGGATGGATGGACAAAGCACATTTCAATATCCTTCCCCTCAGTGTGATAATAAAATTAAACATTCTTAGAAATGATGTTTCACTGTGCAACCAACCATTTTCTGAAGTTGGTTGTCAACAGATCTGGAAACTGTCAAATCTGTTGCTCAAAACTCAACAAAATATATTGAAACCTGAGGAATGCCACTGGACTCGCCATATAAAATATTTCATTGACTCATTCAATGGAAGTTGGTTGAACAAAATTACTTCCTTAACAAGATCATATACGAGTCCTGCAAGCAATCTGGCTTTATTTCATAGAACATTTTGGCTGGTTATCTATTCTACTGGTAGCTTATATTTGTACAGAAATTGATTCCAACCTAAGCAATAAATTCATAATTGGCTTATAATTGAATTGTCCTTCCATAATAAGGCAAATGAGAGCACTCGTTATTAAATGTGATGGTAGTTTTTGTTAAATTGTCGAATATCAATTCATTAGGGACAGATAATAAAGTTACAATAGTTGAGTAAAAAACAAGAGATGCCCCACGGGGAAATAATGAAGTCTTGTGATAAACTTAATATATTGCTAAAATAAATATTCTAGCCAAGACAAGAACAATACATACAGATAGTAAATTATTATATTGAGAACTGGAGGATCATTAATAATTGGTACCTAAATCTTTTTATTTAATTGAAGATTTCATTCGATTTCATAATTTATTTTTCAACATTGGTGTATATCGATTTTTGAAGAAGGAAATGATATAATTGTAGAATTCTTTATATCAAAAATATATCGACAAACGATATAAAATCAAATTAGCGTCAAGCTAGAACCGTTCCATATTTGCTGCAAAGCAGTTAATTCATATTTCATACTTTGCTTCGGGACAATAAAACCGTAGGTTATTTCCAATAGCAGCCATCAAATTCTTTTTTTTTTGTTTAATTGAATAGGTCTATAATATTAGACTATGCCTATTTCTATACCAGTTAGATTATCTATTATGTCTATATTGATCAGAGTAATTTCCTTTTTTGGTGTCTTCATTAAAACCCATGGTATTCCTAATCAATTTTTACAGTTTGTCATTTTTGTTGAGGCCCTATTTTTTTTTTAATCCAATTTCTTGTCTGCCATTCATGCGACTATCTGTGGGAGATTCATTTTGTTAACATTATAGACACTCAATCTTTTCACAGATGTCATTCATTCTGTTGGTTGAAAATTGCAGCATGTATTCAGTAATTTAATTCAGATATTGAACAATAATCATGCAGTGAGATCTATCTACTCTTCACAATGTGTCTAATGTTTTTTGTCACGAAAAAGGCACATTTCTTTTTAGGAAGTTACAATAGCAAAATTTCTAATCCTATACATGTATGCACCTACATGAGTAGAAATAATTTCTCAGAAATTTTATCAAATTTTCGGGTAATACCCTAGATCACACCAAACTTGACATTGTCTCCAGCCCAGACCCTCTGTGTTCAAGTTCCTGGATACAACCCTGCATCATTAAGTGGGACCACTAGTACCACTAATTATGATAAGTCTCCATCAAGGCATAGCTGGATAACCTTAAGAGAATACTTTTCAAAATGTTGCACAAATATATTAGTATCTGTTTTCCACAAGTTATAGTCTAGTAATGGTACTCTATCCAGTTATAGTCTAGTACTCTACATGTATGTAGTTACTACATGTCGCCCAAATACGAGGGCTGGCGACCCTAAAAAAAAGTCATTCACAGCTGACATGATGTCATCATTACTAGGAAAATGACGATCGGCTAGTTCCTTTTTCATTTTTGGAAATATGATGGCCAAGAAATTATCAGGATCTGCTTGAAAATAGTGGAGATTGTCACATAACGTCAAGAATATGACACAGTTACTAAATGTAGCCTGAGCCAGATTAACCATTAGGCTAATAAGGCTATAGCCTTAGGCCCTTAAAAATATTCGGCCCTCAAATCTGGCTGAGGGTTGACTAAATTTTCTAAAGATACTGTAGAAGACACCAGCAAATCTTGAATATTCTTAGGTACATGTATCCATTACAATTACCTCCATCGTCAGGGATATCACAATCATCATATAAGAACATCAGAGCCTCCTCTGTTGTTAAAATTTTCTTTGCAAAATCCATCACAAAATTTCAACTCAGTTAGTAATTGCTATTGACAGGGAGATGTTTAAAAAGGCACAGCGTTACGTAATAACTGTTTCATGGTCACTAACTGCAGTGGAGAATGGTCATTTCTGTACTTAAAAGAGTTATGAACTATGTCGCTCATCCATGTCGCAGGCACATCTCTCTGCACTATCCTTTTTAATCATAGAAAGTTATTGTCAAAAGTTTGAACTATCACAATATTATTCACAATTTTGAAAGCATTAAAGGCTATTAAAAAGCAATTTTGAGCATCATACAGTAATATGCACATGTGCATTGATAATATGTCTCTGTTATTTGAAATAAATTTGCAGTATCATATATATTTGTGTTGCTTTTTATCATTTTGTTCGTAAAATTAGGTCCTTCTTTAGTAAGCAGTATTAGGCCTAATGTTTCCCAAATAATATTAGTTTATGTTTTCCATAGTACATATAGTCTTGTACTCTGTCCAGTTACTAAATGTTGCTCAAATATATTAATAACTGTTTTCCAGCTAGTATATGTTACAGCTAGTTCTCTATCTAGTTACTAAATACCTCTTTTTCTTAATTGATTCAGTAGGTCAATGGAGGTCAAATAACCAATTCAACCTGGAAGATCACAAAGATCTGATAAGACAAGATTAAGACCAAGAAGTGGCATCACATATCATGTAATATTAAAACCACCAGTTTAAACTGTGAAAGATGGTGGTTCTCTGTTAGTGTCTGTATAAAATTGTCACCAGTAGTTAAGAGGGGTCTGATTACAGCCTGGGAACTTGGTCAGGAATTCTGTGTTTACTGTTTTTACAGATATCAGTGTCTTTAAGAACATCTGGTTCTCTCTAAACCAATTCTAATAAGCTCTATTCTAACCTAACTTATACTGTCACTTATTCTGTACATATTAAAGGAAACGGCTACACAAACCAACTCAAGTGGCCATCGAGTTCATTTTTGACATAAAGAGTTTTGAAGACATTAAAGAATGGCTGATATTTTTAATGATAAATAATATACATGTAATACTGGTATATATAAAGATCACTGAATAGGGTGGGCCATAAGCATCAATAAAGATGAAAAGAAATGATTGTAAGTTAAAATATAAATAAAAGGAAAGTTGAATCTCTAAATGAAATATTGAATCCCAAGCTGGGCAAATAACTACCAGTGATATTTTGGTTTTGGTTTTTTTAACTAAATTTTAAATAATCAATTTGAGTACTAATACTATATTGTTTTAAAAGGTGATACCAGCATTCAAACCGAGTCTCACAGTTTTGACTCTCATTCCACTTTTGGACAAAACATCACACTGGGACGACCTAGAAGTGATATTCACTCTAAATAGAAACAAAACAAACAGAACGGTTAGGCTTTCTATTTCTTGAAAACAAGAATTTAAAATTTAAAAATCAAAATATAATTAGTTGTTCTCCTTAAAAGCTTATACTACTAATTTTTCAAGTTTCGA